GGGACCACCCCCTGCGCACCCCCTGTGGTGTCGAGAAAGTGCCACGCCTGCTGTGCCTGGACGACTGTCGTGCATAGCGGCCGCGGTGATAGACCACCCCCTGCGAACCCCCTATGGTGTCGAGGAAGTGCCACGCCTGCTCGCCTGCCGCATGGCGTGCCGTGTGTATGTGTATGATGCGTGTGCGGCCATATCGGGACATATCTCACGTGTTGCCCAGTATGTCGCGCAGACGTCTTGGGTGTATGATGCAGAGGACATGCGTCTTGTATGTGCGAATGTGTGCATGCGTGCGGCTGTGTGCGAGTGTGTGGGTGAGGAGGCGGGAGGTGTGTGAGACGCGGGTGCGGCGCGGCAGGGAAGAAAACCATAACCCCACGAGACATGCGGGGAATACTACGACTTCAAATACGACGGCGACTACTACTACTACTGCTACTACTACTACTACTACTACTACTACTACTACTACTACTACTACTACTACTGCTACTGCTACTACTACTACTAGTACTACTACTACGGCTACTACGACTACGACTACGACTACGACTACCACTACCACGACGACCAATGATACTACTACTACTACTACTGCTACTACTACCACTACTACTATGGCTACTACTGCTGGTAGTAGTAGTACTACTACTATTACTACTACTACTACTACTACTACTACTACTACTACTACTACTACTACTACTTCTTCTACTACTACTACTACTACTACTACCACTCTTACTGCTACTACGACTACTACTACTACTACTACTACTACTACTACTACTACTGTTACTGCTGCTACTACTACTACTACTACGACTATTACAACTACAACAACAACAACTACTACTACTACTACTACGACTACTACTACTACTCCCACTGCTACTCCTTCTACGTATACTATGACTACTACTACTACTACTACTATTACTACTACTACTACTACTACTACGACGACTACTACTACGAGTACTGCTACTTCTACTTCCACTACTATGATTACTACTACTACCACTACTGCTACTACTACTACCACTACTACTACTACTACTACTACTACTACCACTACTGCGACTGCTACTGCTACTGCTACTACTTTTTTTTTGTTTTTTTGTTTTATTTTTTTTTTTCTTTTTTTTTTTACTACTGACATACTACTACTTACTACTGCTTCTACTTACACTACTACTACTACTACTATTACTACTACGGCTACTACTACTACTAATACTGCTGCTACTGCTTACTGCTTTATGCTACTGCTAATGTACTTATACCACTACTACTACTACTACTACACACCACTACTCTACTGCTACTACTACTACTACTAAAAATACTACTGCTACTTACTACTACGGCTACGACTACGACAACGACTATCCGTGCTACTACTACTGCTACTTACTACTACGACTACGATTGCGACTACGACCACGACTACGACTACGACTACTACTACGACTACGGCTACTACTACTACTACTACGACTGCTACTACTACTACTACTACTACTACTACTGCTACGACTACTACAATGGTTACTATTACGTGGGCACCAACATCTACTACTACTACTGCTACTACTGCTACTACTGCTACTGCTACTACTACAACTACAACTACAACAACCTCTACACATACTGCTACTTCAAATACGACTACTACTACTACTACTACTACTACTACTACTACTACGACTACCACTACTACTACGGCTACTACGACTACGACTACGACAACGAATGCCACTACGACCAATGATACTACTACTACTGCTACTACTGCCACTACTACTATGGCTACTACTGCTAGTCGTAGGACTACTACTATTACTACTACTACTACTACTACTA